AACCGTTAAGAAATGATGAGGTCTTGAGGGCTCTGCCATCATAAAGAGATTAATGCTGTTATCCTAGGGGTGGGTGCCTCCTAATACGATGACTTTAGCATCCTTTTGTCGCTCCCCTTCTTGGCATCCTGCCATGGGATGATGTGGCAAGAAGGCCACTGACAGCTGCCTGCACCCTGATATTGAACATTTCAGCCTCTGGACTACGAGAACGAATTTCTTTCCTTAAAAATTACCCAGGAGCTAACATTCTGCTAAAGCAGCACAACATAGACTAAAATAAATGGTTACTCAGTTTTATTTAAAAAATTTGGACAACCTGGCCAGCGCTATGGCTCACTAGGCTAATCCTCCACCTAGCAGCGCCAGCACACCGGGTTCTAGTCCCGGTCGGGGAGCCGGATCCTGTCCCGGTTGCCACTCTTCCAGGCCAGCTCTCTGCTGTGGCCAGGGAGTGCAGTGGAGGATGGCCCAAGTGCTTGGGCCCTGCACCCCATGGGAGACCAGGAGAAGTACCTGGCTCCTGCCATCGGATCAGCGCGGTGCACCAGCCGCAGCACGCTGGCCGCGGCGGCCATTGGAGGGTGAACCAACGGCAAAAGGAAAATCTTTCTCTCTGTCTCTCTCTCTCACTGTCCACTCTGCCTGTCAAAAAAAAAAAAAAAAAAAAATTGGACAACCTAATAAAAAGTCCTATTATCATCTATGTTATTCCACTAAGTGTACATCTGTCATGTGTTAATGCCATATTATAATATCCTTTCAATATTCATAAAATACTCCTTTTGTCATTTTAATCCATTCAATGGAAGGTGATAAACAGCCTCATTATAGTTATTCTCAAAAAATATAAAAACTTTACAGCTCTTTTTAGAAAAATGCAAGTATTTGTGTGTGAGTGTGCATGTGTGCTAAAATATGAAGAAATAACCAAAAGGACAGTGTTAATTTTCAAGTTTTACCAAAAAATTTATTTTTAAGTTTCAACACTTGAGAATAAATGTGTATTGATTACAGTATTCAATTACCACATAATTTAAATACATCTATTACAAAGAAAACATTCATTGTTTTTTTTAATTTAATTTTTTTGGATTTATTTTATTTATTTGAAAGGCAGAGTTACTGAGAGGAAGAGGGAGGGAGAGAGGAGGAGAGACGCAGGGGGGAGAGGGGGAGTGCAGGGAACGGGGGAGAGGGAGAGAGATCTTCCATCCAATGACTAACTCCTCAAAGGGCAGCAAAGGCCAGGGCTGAGCCAGCCGGAAGCCAGGACCCAGAAGCTTCATCTGGGTTTCCCACATAGGTGGTGGGGCCAAAGGACTTCTGCCATCCTCTGCTGCCTTTCTCTGGCACATTGGCAGGAAGCTGGATCTGAAGTGGAGCAGCCAGGACTGGAACCAGTGCCCATATGTGATGCTGGCATGGCAGGTGGTGGCTCAACTTGGTAGGCCAAAATGCCAGCCCCAACTACTATCATTTTAATGGACAAGCATTGTTTCAAGTAGAAATTCTCTGACAGTATCCATCTTCATATTATAAAGCAAAGGTATTCTACAATGTTTCCTCAGTATGAAGACACATTAGTGAATGCATTAATTCTTCAAAACAACATTTAAACCATAATTTCCTGTTGTTGTAGATATTGACATTTTGCATGTAAAAAGAAGTAGGAGGAGTTGTTTTCCTAAAATATAGTAACAGTCAAAAGAAAAGAACTCTATCTACTGATGGGCCATGCTCTACCACACCATTCTACTGTAGACATATCAAGGGCCTTGTCCAACCGCTTATAGTTAATATCTCACCTAACACTCATGCAATGTTCTGTATAGAAGCAAGATCCTCTATTGCTAAGACTGCTATGATTCCTTAGCTCAATTCTAATAACTTTGTTAAATATATGAAAACACAGTATTTTTCTAAAATATAAAGAAGTGAAGAGTTTAGGCTGATAAACTTTTAAGTATCTTACGTTTAAGATTTAAGCTTTGTAATTTCTGTAATTATTGACAATGGTGTTGATAAGTTTAGATAAATACATCTGACAATTAGATACATGAATGAAGAAAGTACTTTTCTTTTTAAAAGAACAGAATATTCTATTTTCTTAATGTTCTCTGTGCCAGAGTATCTTTTCTCAAGAGTTACATGGTTGCTTTTTGCAAATCAGTAACATAAGAATGTGGAAGAGGATAAAAAAATTTCTAGATCAATAAATAAGTCCTGTCTACCCTAATCTGTACTTAAAGAATAAATGTTCAGGGCCGGCGCTGTGCGGCAGTGGGCTAACCTGCCATCTGCAGCACCACATCCCACATGGTGCCAGTTCAAGTCCTGGTTGATCCACACCAATCCAGCTCCCTGCAAATGTGCCTGGGAAAGCTGTAGAATATAGCCCAATTGTTTGGGCCCCTGTACCCACATATGTGACCTGGAAGAAGCTCCTGGCTCCTGTCCCAGCCCTAACCATTGCGGCCAACTGGGGAGTGAACCACCCCATGGAAGATTCTTTTCTTTTCTTTTCTTTTCTTTTCTTTTCTTTTCTTTTCTTTTCTTTTCTTTTCTTTTCTTTTCTTTTCTTTTCTTTTCTCTCTCTCTCTCTCTCTCTCTCTCTCTCTCTCTCTCTAACTCTGACTTTCAAATAAATAAATCTTTTTTAAAATATCTGGTCACATTAGGATTCATAACAGATTCAAACTAAATTGTAACATATTGGACCTATTACTCTTCTGATTTGCAGAAAAAAAATTTAAAAGGCAATTAAGGAAATCCAACTGAAGAAACAATCATGTCCCAGTGTGAGTGAGCCATATTTAACAAGATATTTATTGAAGACCAACTATATACAAGTTGTACAGATGAAAAACGGTTAAAGAGATATTCCTTATGTTTACAAATTTGGCTCACATAGGATATATGAAACATTTAAAAATTACTGCAATGAAAGAAAATATGTGAAACTTAAATGGATTATTTTATGTTCATAAATATAAAAAGAAGAAAGAGGCTAAAATTCCAGTGTAGTTAAAGAAGGCTGAATCTCAGGGGGAGGGGCAGATTAGGTGAGTCTGAAGGATGGGTCCAATATGAGAGAAGTACGGGCATAACAAGAAAGAGTAGCAAAATAAAGCTTATGTTTAGGTGATAAGGAGCAATACAAACACTCTAACACCCAGCTAGTTTCTTGCAAAGTAGCAGAGGTATAAACTTGAAAATGAACCATTTCAGATTTCCATCTTAACTGGTAACTCAGTTCCATGTACATCAATATTGTAGCTACAATCAGAGTATGATTTAAAAAAAAAATCCTCTGCAAAGCCCAATACCTCATATGTTTTCAATAACTGAAAGATGGCATCTGCTGTTACTATCAACACGAAGACCTTTAGAGCTTATTCCAGTAAAGTACATGCAGGACTTATGAATTAGCAAATGGTGGGTGACATACAAGATGGAGACTACAGTGACATGCTAAACTATTTCATAAGAATGTTGATAAATTTTTCATATACTTTGGCAAACTATAAATAATGTGAATACAAAGATTAATAATATATTTTAACTCAAGGGATATTACTTCAGAAGACTACTAATAGCAGTAATAAAAAATTCATAAGATTTCATAAGTTAACATTTTGAGTTTTACTAAAATAAAAGAGATAAAAATTTTTGCACTGAGCCTTCCTCTATGTAATAGAAATCTATCATTAACAAAAACAGGTAAAGTCCATGCTATGAGTTGTTTAAATATTGAGGTCATGGCAAAAGGCAGACCAGAAAAATGATGCCAAATAAGTAAATATACATCAGGTTATAAACTGCTAAGTGCTATGCAAAAAAAAAATATATATATATATATAACAGGAAAGAGATGTTGATTGGAAAGGCAGGCAAGAGGGAAGGGCTAGACTTTTAAAGAGACGGTCAGGGAACGGTCTCGTTGAGAAGGCTGAATTTGTGTGAAGAGTCAAAGATGGGGGGGCATAGTAATAACTTTGTTCTATAATAGCTTCCAACTCTTTCTCACTGTTAGACTTCACTCTGAATATTGAACATATTTTGGAGTAGCTATTCTCCCTGGATAATGACAGACTTCAGAAACACAGTAAAGGGTTTAACATTGACTCCATATCTTTGCTATCTTTGGAGAAATCTGATAATATTCACAAAACAGTATGAATTGATCATAGTGTAGAATTAACGAGTACAACTGATAATTTGCAATTGGTTCTTAAAATCTGCAGTCAGGAGAGCTCGCTAGGAAGAACATAAGCACTATTTATGTATTTAAAGAAGTGATACTGAGCACTTTTTTCAAAACAACAAGATGGGCAGTTGGGGGAACAGATCAGTTATGAGTTGACAACATCCTATTATCCTCTCAACACCTGTGTATTTTCAAAAACAAAAAGTAAAAACTATAAAAAAAAACATATTTTCAAATTGTTATTCATCTTCATCAACCTCATACTGAGATTCAGAGTATTTTGTCATACATATCACAGTATTTCCTATCCACCCAAAGGAAAGCGAAGAAGCTTAGTGATAGGAATTCAGTGGCAATTATAATGTGGACTCCACTACTAATGTAAAAACACATCAATTCCATTTTTAATTTTTTGACAAAGAGTTGCTAACATTCTAATGCAGTGACTTCCAGGGTTCTTTTGATATTTTAATTAATTTTTCAGGAAAAAGTCAAGTTTACAACTGATGGGACAATAGCTATACACAGTCCCTATCTTCTGTGGCATTATTTATTTCTAAAGCAGTACACAAACTTTGAAAATAGTTTATGTATGTATATTTGGTTTGAGAGATACACCAATTGATATTTTATAAAATCAACAATAAAGCAGTCTTCACAATAAAAAAATGTTTTATGTGTGTGCACTTACAAATATATGTGGATGTGTATCTACATGTGTGACAAAGCAGTAAACGAGAAGTATATTTTGATTTATACACAAAATAATTTCTTCTTAAATACTAAGCATAATTTTGATCTGTGTATTAATCATGACTAAAGTTCAAAATATCGATGCTGAGAAAATGCAGACTTACCACTTGACCATTGTGAGGGTTCTTATGAGCATATGGAGGTCCACGTATATGATTCCACATCTGGCCAGAAGTCATAGCAAAAACTATACACTGAAAAACAGGGTACAATGTTCCCATGTATAAATGAAAAGAATACAGGACTATTACACTTTAAAAAAAAATAGTCATCATGAAACTACAACTTAAAATCGTGTACTGGCTCATCCACTAAAATTTTTTCACTTACTAACTATGGGAGGTCGGGTAAATTACTTATTTTCCCTGAATCTCATTTTCCACTTCTATGGAATTTGGATACTAACTCTGCTGAAGAGATATATTAGTGATAGGACTGCATAACAAAGGGCAAGTATTTGGCATAATGATAGACAATCTGATATTATGCTCTAACCTGGGCCAGTCAAAAGCACAGATGAGATCTTTGGGCAGGATAATTACTTTCTAGATCCTAATTTCATTGCTATGTTAGATTGGATTGCCAAGAACCACCAGTCATGGTGTCCAGTACTTACATCCGTAAGAGTATTTAAATGCTTTCAACAAAGCACATGACTTAGTAAACTCAGAAGATATTTGGAGATTGAAACAATCACAAAAAAAACAACTGAAGAATAAGTTAGAGACATTATTTACACTTCTGTCCTGCTGGATTTATCAGGAAAAAAAAAAAAAAAAGCTGTATCTGGAAAAGTAACTTCTAAGATCCACAACATTACAGGGAAGGTAAGAAAGAAAACACATGAACCAGAAGTCCTATTTCAATCATGAGGACTTATTTACATGTAAGGAAGCTTTGCTTAAATCATACAATAGTTTAAAATTCATGAACTGCAACACATTTAGGCTTAATTATGCTCTTGAGGTTAGAACTGCACCTAGCAAGTCCTACTGTCCTGTAACTTGCCCCACCTCCCTTTGCTACACCTGCCTGGTTCTAAAAGGCATTAATCTCAAACAAGGCTAAATATAAAAATGAACAATGCATTACTGGAGATGTAACCAATCTAGGTGTGCACAAATTTTAAAGAAGAGGCTATTAAAGAGAAAAGATAGGATGGTATAAGGTTTGGGGGATATTTAAACCTCAAGAATAAATATAGATGCTATTCTGTAACTGCTTGAGGGTCAAGGTGTTTCAACAGAAAACAATAATGACATTACCAGGGTTACAGAGGTTCATCTGAATCCTCTTCTCACTTGTTAATTCTAAAATTAAACTTCTTAAAAGCCAAGTGTCACTTATATTGTTTTTTAGCTTAGACTGAGTCATTATCTGAAAGTATTTTACAAAGTATTTGTTTAAAGTTAGAATGTCAGACCCAGAATGAGCATAGGGAATGAATGATTCAATACCTAAATATCATTTAAGATATTAAAATTATTATGAGTGTAAAATAAATTCTATATTTAACTCACAGGAATATCAGGAAAGTCGGAGTATACTAATCTGGGTTATTTATGCTATTAATATAAACAGTGCTTCTGAAAGAGTGTATTTAAGATATAAGAAAAGACATATTTAGTGAACCAATACATTTATAGTATAAACAGTGACGTTTTGCTTCTAACAGACATCTAATACTATTACAATACTATGCTTACGGTACCTAACAATGATCACTACTAAACCAGCCAATGAAACTACCGCCGTGTATTTCTGGCTTTGCTTCCACCTGCCATTCCCTTCCTTCTCTACCTACTTTTATTGATCCCACTGGTATTCTTACATCCAGTTACCACTGACAGAAAGACATGGAAAAGTTTATATTTTAGAAAGATGCTCTAGTTATATTATGGTGCACAGACCACATAAATCAGTTTGGATACTGATACACAGATACACATGAAAGACTGCAATGGTCATGGTGAGAACTGTAGACATACAGAAGGGATATTCAAAAGGTTGATTTAGTAGGCATAGAAGATTGACTGATATGATAAAAAAGAAGAAAACCTAACCCCAGTCTTCTACCGTGACCAACAGCACAGCTTGTGATGCTACTCAATGAGATAAAGAATGAAACATACACAGTTATTCTTAAGTGCTGAAATTTAACTGAAATGTGATCCTTGTTAAACATAAGAGTAGGAATAAGAGAGGGAAGAGATGTACAATTTGGGACATGCTCAAGCTGACTTGCCCCAAATGGTAGAGTTAGAAACATACCAGAGGACTCCAATTTAATCCCATCAAGGTGGCATGTACCAATGCCATCTCACTAGTCCAAGTGATCAATTTCAGTTCACAATTGATCATAATGAAAGACCAAGAGTCAAAGGGAGCACATAAACAAGTCTAGTACCTGCTAATACTAACCGATAGAATAAATAAAGGGGAGAGTGATCCAACATGGGAAGCGAGATACTCAGCAGACTCATAGAATGGCGGATGTCCTAAACAGCACTCTGGCCTCAGAATCAGCCCTAAAGGCATTCCGATCTGGCTGAAAAGCTCATGAGAGTATTTCAGGCATGGAAAGCCAAGACACTCTGGAAAAAAAAAAAAAAAAAAAAAAAAAAAAAAAAAAAACAAAACAAACCACACACACACACACACACACACAAACCCTAAATGAAAGATCTCTGTGTGTGTGAGATCCCAGTGGAAAGAACAGGTCTTCAAAGAAGGAGGTACCTTTCTCTGAAGGGAGGAGAGAACCTCCATTTTGACTATGACCTTGTCTAAACAAGATAAGTCAGTGAACTCAGGGGGCTTCCATAGCCTTGGAAACTCATGACTGGTGCATTGGGAGATTACTGATGCCATAAACAGGAGTGTCAATTTGTAAAGTCAACAACAGGAGTCACTGTGCACTTACTCCTCATGTAGGATCTCTGTCCTTAATGTGCTGTACATTGAGACTTAATGCTATAACAAGTACTCAAACAGTATATTTCACTTTGTGTTTCTATGGGGGTGCAAACTGTTGAAATCTTTACTTAATGTATACTAAACTGATCTTCTGTAAAAAAAAAAAAAAAAGAAAAAAAAAAAGAAATTATCAATTCCCAACTTGACTCTCACTGGGATTAAACATGACAATAGGTCTGATCTGATTTCATCATCATTTAAAAAATCATCTATTTTTTTTCACTTTATGTTTGTGTGGGAGCAAACTGTTGAAATCTTTACTTAATGTATGCTAAACTGATCTTCTGTATATAAAGAGACTCGAAAATGAATCCTCATGTGAATGGAAGGGGAGAGGGAGTGGGAAAGGGGAGGGATGCGGGTGGGAGGGATGTTACGGGGGGGGGGGGGGGGAAGCCATTGTAATCCATAAGCCGTACTTTGGAAATTTATATTCATTAAATAAAAGTTAAAAAAAAAAAAAGAATGAAACAAACACATGTCCGAAGGAAAGTGAGGCAGCTAACAAAGATCTTGAGTTCAATTTTGAACCAATTGATTGTGCTTTCAAAACACTGATTTCAAAATGCTCTTGCATAGTAAGACTTTTAAGAGATACTTCCTTACATAATGACAGTCTGGGGAAAAGCTAAAATCATGGGAATGAATGAAATTGCTCAAAAAGAGAAGGTATGGGGAGAAGAAAAGAACCCTACGAAGAATCTATTTCATAATTTGATTTATGAGAAGGACCTGGGACACAGAAGTAAAAAAAAATGTTATGAAGAAAGTAGGTATATAACTCAGTGTCAAAGGACATTGCTCAATAATTGTCAGATGCTTGGGGAAGATCAAATATAAAACAATATGAAAAGTATTTTTGTTTTCATTATCTATATGGGATACTAAAATACTTATAAATGAAAATATTTCAAAAACAAAAGTATTATCAACCACAGAAATTCCAGCATTCTTAAGACCTACCACTGGTATGTTTAAAGTATCATGCCCAGTATTTCATCAGAGTAATTGACAACAAAGGCTCCTTAATTTTACTACTTGAGTTTAAGGCCAGTCTGTCTTCAGCATCTGCGCAACCTTTGTCAAATTTTGTCACACTGGGCTTGTTTCCTAACTACAATATTAGGATATTATTGGTATTACACTTTAAGCTGTGGGTTTTTAAGTAAATCTATATAGTACATTGAAAACTGTGCATGATATGCAATATTAGTTCAATAAATTTTACTGGTGTTCCAAAGTCTTCCATAATTTATTCCCATACTTCTAAACAGAACCACATCCTCTACCCTTTAACCAGCACTGTATACTCCATTTCAGTTACTCTGATCGCTTCTCCCTCCATCCATGACAACAAGACCTACATGTGCATCTTACTAATGTTATGTCAACCTAGTCAATACTTATACACTACCCCTGGATAGTATACTCATGGCCTATGTATGGCTCTCCATGAAATCCTTCCACATGATTTCATTATTTATTATCTGCCAGGTATTCTACTGGGCATTAACAAAATAACACCTAGTAAGGTAAAGATGATCTGAGTCCACCACTGGAAATACTGAATAAATGACATATGCCCTGAATCATCAAAAATAAGTATTTCTCATGTATTCAATCAGTGTTTATTTACTGAAATCCTACTAACATATGCTCAAGAATCATTCCAGAGGCTGGGAATGAGGCAATGAACAAAAACAATGTGGAGGAAAACGATTCTTATGATTAATACAAAATGGAACAAGCACAGACCACGAAGATGCAGCAGAGAGAAGAACTGGAAGTGTGGTGTACTGGGAGACGAATGAAGAAGAGCTTGTCAATCCTGATGAGAGATCAGTAACAGAAACACCCACATTAAAAACTGTATTTCATTCCCTGGAAAGTACTTGTGCTTTCATAAGAACATTTTCAATGAAAAGTGAGTGTAAAAGCCTTTAAAAATGAAAGAATATAGACAACTGTTTCTAGCAGTTTTGGTACAAGGAGTTGCAAGTGGCAGCATAACCAACTGTTCAACAATGTTGGTCCCCAAAGATGTAATTTTTAATTCACAATATTGTAAAAATACTCCATATAGCTTTAGACCAGCTTTTTACATAAAGTTTTTATTCCACTCCCCATCAGCAAATATCTAAAGACTAGCAAAGTCTGTCAAAAACTCCACATACTTCTGTTTCTCCAAAGAATGAGGCACATGGGTATTTAAAGTTTC